ACCCAGTAAAACCATTTACGTGGGACACTGCGTAGATTGAATGCAGGTGTGGGAGGGCACGGTGAAGTGCGTCGGCGCATTTTGCGAAGTTAGCCGAGGCAACGTATTCTAGATGTTTCGTTTGTCTGAAGCTCGCGTCTTTTCCTTTTCTGTTCAGCAGTTCATACCTAACGTTTCGTTGTTTAGTTCAGCATTATTTGCCGCCATTTGCATTTTGCACATAGGTAAGTAACTGCATGTTGTAAATATACCTATGCATTACAGAGTACAATAGCGTTTATGTTTACAGCAAGAACGACGGTTTTTTAAGAGTTAGAGTATAAAAGTGTACTTAATTAAGCTTTTTACAACCAGTTGAAGCAAGTATGGAGTAATTACTAGGTAACAGATTGGAGACTTTCTAGTGAAACCGTGCAGATATTTTTAGGTAAGTGCAAATCCTGCTCTAATAATAAGACTTTTCGCCCTAAATTTATATTGTTAACTTTTTAACCCATCAGCTTCTAGTTATTTAAATTATCCGGAAAATCATTTGTAAAGATATTCATTTAATACATTAATTTTCCCAAGTGTTGTCATAAAAAAGTTGTCGCTTTTTATTATCTGAAAAACTACTTCATTTTGATTAAAAATTCGAATTTACTAAGTCAAAATTTGCCCGTTTTGTAATATTCCCAATACTTTAACATTTATGCATTTCACAAAAATTACCTTGTGTATAGTTTTAACTATTTTCTGTATAGCATTAAGCTTTGTTTGAGTTTGATTTATTTGGTTTTGTTTCATATAGTGTTTTTTTTTCAGATTAACTTGGACTTTGAAAGAACTTTCTCTAACAGCGATATTGGCATTTTGGAACAATTTGGAATAATCGAAATATCCAATGTAAATGTATTTATGTACATATGTAAATATAGGTATATAATTATATACCATAAATATATATTCTTATCACTATGAACATTTGGTTTAATCTATTTGATGTAAACATCTATTTCGTTAAAAACACTATTTGATTTCAAGGGAACTATTAGTAAACTTAAAGTTATTTCTTTTATTTTTTGTTGGGAATACATCATAAATTCGTACTGGGTCGGAAAGTCTTTGTATAGAATAATCGATTGGCTTATATCAATATTTTTTCTATTCAAATTAATACTTTCTGTAATTTAAAGAGAGCCAATAAAATATTATATCTGAACCATATAATTTTCTCGGATCAAGAAAACGAATATCATTTACATAAGATATCGGTATATTCACATTGAGTAAATTATCGAATTGAAGTGCTTGTTAAGATTTTCTCCATGTGAATAAATTATAATCAATGTGAGAACATGATTTTCTCAAAACAATAAGAGTGGAAATTATTTGAAATGATGCATTTAGTTTTAATTTGAACTATGGCGCTATTAAATGAAGAATATCTTTTGCTACAAACAAGAATATATATTTTTCATTTCAAATAAATATCTTCTTGCGGATATATGAGACTAGAAATTACTCAATACAAGCTGATTAGGTTCATTTCAAGTATTTACTTTTTTGTGTGTAGATAAACGACAGGAAAGGAAAATATCAAGATGAATGAAGGTCCCTTAAAAAAATGAAAAGTGGAAACGAGCATAGGCAGTTAGAGAAAATATTGTAAATATTATTAAATCGTTGAGAATTAGATCCATCCATATACGAAAAAAAAACAGAACTAAGAATCATAACTAAATGGAATTCAGTATATGTCTAATAGATCTGGAGTAAGGACTAGAAGCAAATTGAAATACCAGGTAGAAGAAGATATCCAAGAATTTAAGACAGCAGAGTGAAATAGAGAAATAAAAAAATTGAAAATAATGGAAAAAATTGTAGACTAAGAAAAACTCGCGTCATTATGAGAGAACAAGGACTAATCCACTTTGAAAGTGAGATAGTTTGAGTTCTAACGAAAAAATTTCTTACGAAATGTACAAAACCTTCACGAATGTTTACAAGCCATGCGACCACCGAGCTTAGGCAACCCAACATTGCACGATTGGCACTGGTAACGAAAATTCCCTAGGTCTTGGCGTCACCAATAATAATGACTCGTTCCCAATGAACAATGACAAACGGTTACGTCTACGCTCGAGAAAATTCGATCGCTGATTGGTTGAATAGTCTCTTGTGAAAAATTATACCAATCACAGCCGGTGAAACAGAACGTTGTGTTTCAATGTAACCTTGATCTTACTATTTTAATAATTTTAATTTTACCTAAATTTATTGTCCACTATGGAACAAATAAAATTGTTATTCCAAATAAATTACTGGTCACATGGCTTGCAAACATTTGTAAAGGCTCTGTATTGACTTAAAACAATAATAAACTATCAGTTTCTCTATAGATACCTAAAATATTTTTAATCCAAAAGCTATTAATCTCCGATTGTTTGCACTAATTTCAGAAACCTGAGCCAAAATGACTATGTCAACAGAACGCGCCAGATTGAAATCTTGCAGAATATTAATCCAGGTAGATCATTATGAACAAGAATTGAAATGAGAATACGAAGATTTTATAGGTACCTATATAGTCTTTATTAATCAAGAAATATGCAAACATTCTCCGCTTAGATATTTTAAGTTTATTTTTAAATTGATCACAATTTCGAATGATAAATTAATCCACGAATTTCTTGGAAATAAGTTTCCTCTTTCTTAAAAAGGTACGCTAATTAGTATATTAATAAACTTTACTCTTCTAACTATTGTAAAAGTATTTTTATATCTAATTCATAGTATCATCCCCCAGTTTTACAAATCGAAGTGTTTTATTTCATTGTGTCATATACGCTATTACTGTAACTTACATCCCTGCGATAGCCAAACAATTCTGTTTTCTCACTCCTATTTTAAGCCGCAGCACGATAACTTAAAAGAAACGGCTAAAGTTTGTCGCTGTCTACTCCGAAACTTTTTCAGGGCGTGGAGGTTCTCTGACTTTTTCCTTTATAGCTAGTTTAATGACCGTGAAGAAATAATAAGTATTATATTTTTCCAATTACGATACATTATCTCCAAACCAATATCTGTTTTAGGAGATGATGATACGGAATGACTTTAAGTTAATGGATATAAAAGTGAATTAAAAGAATGAAAACTTTTATAATTCAGATGAATATCAACTCAACAGCATAACAAAAAACATATGAATTATTTAAAAAGAGTATTTCGTTTTTAAGGGAATTTAAAATACAGCTTCATTATTTTTTCAAAATTGCAAATACAGGGTGGTCCGAATTTTATGCAGGAAACTTCGAGGATAGATAGATCTCTTTAAAATAGTAGGTGTTTGCCTTATAAACGTAGGTCCGGAACGGCCTCGTTTTAGAGATACAGGGTGTTGAAGTTGTTAAAAAAAATGATTTTTTGTTTATACCTCCGGAATCCATCAACCGATGTCAATATAATTTAGTACAGATAATGTATGATAGTAGGCCTTGTATTCCCTAAAATATGAGCTCTAAAGGTCCAACCAGTGGTGTACAACTGGACAGGGTCACCCCTTTTTTATTAAAAAAAACCTACGCCACTGTATTTTTTTCAAACTGTTGTACCTCATTTATATTCTAATACACAAAATACGTAAAAAAGGTAACTTGAATTTTTTCTCTAAAGTTCACCGTTCTCAAGTTATTCATACCAATACAATCCCCTTGTGGCAGACACTTCTAACCATAATATTACAAAAATATTTATGTTTATGCTTAAAAGTAAGTGCAATTTGTAAGCACATCAAAATTCTTTACACTCATCGCTTTCATCTTTTTGGTTTAAAACAATATTTGGAAAATCACGACAAAGGACTGAATGGCACAGAAATGATATTTTAAAAGCATTTAACGAAGATCTTTGCCTAAGTACACGAAGAACGTCTCGGCAACTTGGAGTGAGTAAATTGAAAATTTGAAAAGTTCTAAGTAAAGATGGCAGAAATCCGTACCATTTACAACCTGTGCAAAATTTACTTCCGGGAGATGCAGAGAGACGCCTGAATTTGTATCAGTAGTTGTTTGAATTCTTACCAGAAATACCTTGGACCGATGAGGCTACGTTCACAAGGGGTAGTGAATTTTCACAATCTGGATATTTGGTCACAAGAAAATCCTCATGAAATTCGAAGTCATTTCTAAACTTTCTAGAAAACCATTATTAGAGGATGTTCCATTAAATCTACGACAAAATAGCTGGATACAAATGGATGGTGCTCCTGCGCATTTTAGGAGAATAATGCAAGAATGGCTTAATGAAAATTATATGAGATGATGGATAGGTAGAAGACCANTACTGGAAGACGCTATTGACCCTGCCCTGACTGATATTATTGAAAATGTTCCAGAGTATGATGAAGATCATTTGATTTTTCAACAGGACTGTGCTCCTCCGCATTATGCGTTAATTGTCCGTCAGTATTTGGACCAACGTTTTGTACGGAATTGGATTGGGGGAAGAGGCAGCATTGAGTGGTCTCCACGGTCACCGGATTTATCGCCCTTTGATTTCTTTTTGTGGGGATACCTAAAAAGTAAAATCTATAAAACACAGTCAGCGTCGCTGGAAGATTTGCGTCAAAGAACATCGACGAATGCCATCGAATCACTCCGAAAATCAGAATGTGCGCGAACATTTCGAACAAAATCTTTATTCTTGTGTAGAAGCGGGCGGTCATCAGTTTGAACATTTAATCAACTAAGTAGTAAGTAATCAACTAAGTAGTAAGTAAGCAACTAAACATATTTTAAATTTTAAAATGTAAATTTTTATTATTTAGAGAATTGTAAGAGCGTTTTTCTACAATATTGATGTAGTTCCTGAAAATGGCTCTGATTCGTTTTTATTTGGCCACTCTGTATACTGTTTTACGGGAAGTTTTAACACTATTTTTGTAAAGTATTAATAACCAGTCATACGTTATTTCAGGGTCAATTAGGATGAAGAACATCTATCCAAGTTTCAGTACACGATCCTTTTTATGTATTTCAATAATTTATTATATGAATAAAATGTATTTTTAACTTAAAATGATTTGCCTAAATATTTAATTTAAAAGTTATTAATAATACTGTTGTAACATTATCTGAGATATAAAAATATGTGTGATAAAATATAGAAAACCATTTTTAATTTTCTCATCGCTGTTACATGATAACTATAAGTTAATTCAAAATCTTCCCCATTTTAATCTTTAATTACACTCGAAAAATTATATATTTAGAGAAAATTTTAAATTTGAATGTGCCCCTTTGCATCTCATGTTCTTTTTGCTACTTACAATTAGATATAAAGGATCTAAACAAACTTTATATAACTGCATATGATACAAATATTGACTAGGAATGTTATTAATTTTATCCCCTAACTTAATAGTCCGCTAGTGGTAGGTAATAAATTAAACATATCAACCCCCAGCCAATTTTATATCTGTTCCATATTTCGACGCTTTGCCACTCTCCCCCTGCATTAATTTAGTACCTGTGACCAAAACTCAACAGTTGAATTCGTTTATGTTTACTTGACAACGTAGACCTATTTAACTGCCTCCGAGCACGCTAGTTTAACGGTTCCCTTCTATTTTGTTGCAGCGAAACTGGACGGCGTAAAGACGTACATGAGGATGCGGAGGGTCCCGAACCACCTCCAGGTGAAGGTGATCAAGTGGTTCGATTACCTCTGGCTCACCCAAAAGTGTTCAGACGAAGAGAGAGCCGTATCGTGTCTTCCAGATAAGTTAAAGGCTGAAATTGCAATCAATGTGCATCTAGACACCCTCAAGAGGGTAGAAATCTTTCAAAACACTGAGGCTGGATTCCTATGTGAATTGGTGCTTAGATTAAGGCCGGTCCTGTTCTCGCCCGGGGATTACATTTGTAGGAAAGGTAAGGACTCCTGAATAAATCCAATGAACTGATTCAAAATATACAATGTTTTCTTTAGTATTATCGCTAGTTATTGCGAGTTTATTATTGAAATTACAAAAAAGTTTTTATTACAAAAGTTTTAGCTTTTTTATGAATTTTTTATAATACAGTATTAGAAAAAATTATTTGAATAATGGAAATCACTAAATTAAAGAAAAAACATTTTTTTTAAATGGAAGACACTATATGTATAGGTTCGGAAAATCCACATGGTACATCGGCCGTTACGTGAGAGCGTAAGTCATAGAAATCCGTGTGATAGAGAAGGATGGCTATAATGAAGGCGTCTCATAGTCACCGCCCTTTTCGCCCTTCCACAAATAAGATCCACTTCCACTTGTAATTTAGCAACCGGTGGTCATCTTTGTTTTCATCGTTTGCCTTTTCTTTAATAGATGTCACCACTTATCTTCCGACTCCGGTATTCCGATATGTTAATACAATCCGTTAACAGAGGGCAACACAACGCGTAATAAAGAAAACTTTTTACAGTAGCTAGTAGATACCTCTGTTTGTAAATCTAGTGACCTTGTTTCCTCCACTGAGAAGTTATTCAAATGTAGTATAGTGCTCAGCTGCATTTAAAGTTAATTTAGTTGTTATTTAAGTATACTTTGCCCTCTGTTAACGGATTGTATTAACATATCGGAATACCGGAGTCGGAATTGTATAAGTAGTGACATCTATTAAAGAAAAGGCAAACGACGAAAACAAAGATAACCACCCGTCGCTGAATTACAAGTGGAAGTGTATCTTATTTGTGGAAAGGCGAAACGGGCGGTGACTATGAGACGCCTTCATTATAGCCATCCTTCTNCCAGATCTAAACTCCCTGGACTTCTATGTTTGGGGTGACCTACTTGAAATGTTTACTATACTCCAATAGATACTAGACCACAACTAATGCAGCGAATAGAAGACAAGTGTAATGAATTAAAAGAAAACCACCACATGATCAATTCAATTAATTCCATTAATAGAAAATGTTAGAAATGTATCGATGTGGGTGGTTCGAATTTAAAACAATTGCTGTAAATACTTAACGTTAATTTTGTTTCTTATTTAGTTGTTGCTAGGTAAAATACATACATGTGTTTTTATTATTATTTTGATTTAAATTGTTCTTATTTGTAAAGATAATGCCTCCAGGGAAAACTAAAACACACCAGGAACACTACCTCACAAGTGATGTGGAAAGAATTTTGTTGATGTGCTTACAAATTGCGCTTACTTTTATGCATAAACATAAATATTTTTGTAATATTATGATTGAAGTGTCTGCCACAAGGGGATTGTATTTGTATGAACAACTTGAAAATGGTGAACCTTAGGGAAAAAAGTCAGGTCACATTTTTTACTTATGTAGTGCATTAGAATATAAATCCGTTACAATAACTTGTAAAAAATACAGTGGCGTAGGTTTTTTTTATAAAAAGGGGGTGACCCCTGTCCAGTTGTACACCACTGGTTAAACCTTTATAGCTCATATTTTAGGGAATGCAAGGCTTACTATCGTACAATATTTGTACCAAATTTTATTGAGATCGGTTAATGCATTCCTGAGATATAAACAAAAAATATATATTTTTTAATAACTTCAACACCCTGTATCTTAAAACGAGGCCGTTCCAGATCTATGTTTATAAGGCAAACTCCTATTATTTTAAAGAGATCTATCTGTCCTCGAAGTTTCCTGCATAAAATTCGGACCACCCTGTATATGTAAAAATCAATTCGATAGCTTTATTGCATTTTTATCAAGTCTATTTAAAAACTAATTTAATGACATCCATAAAGACACAGTTTGGAAAATATAGCAAAACTTATTGTCAATGGAACTGAAAAAAAAAACATTTAAAATTAATGACGCGTATACAGGATGATTCAGAACTTATCAAAATATATATATATATATATATTAGATGTACAAGGGACTCTTACAAATACGATATTGTAAAGAAAAAATAAAAAAAGGCAGTTCGAAAATGATTTAAAAATACACTTCTACACGGCACTGGAAACTGGTCCACTGTAAAACCTGACATCGCACAATCCGACTGGCACGAATTCGAATTCGAATGGCATATAGAATTCTAATAAAGAATAAAGCGCATTTCTTTCAGTGTACAAATATTGTCTTGCTTCACCATAAATTGAAAGGATATCCATCAACTCCGAGTTGCTATACACGCAAGCCATTTTTGAAATTAACTACTAAAAAACCTATTGTACACACTATCGCAACGACGATTGTAAATTCGGATTTCAGTATTCGGAGTCGCTGAGGCCACGTGGCTCTCCACGCGTATTGCAAATGACGCTAGAGAGATTAATTACAACTTCAACAATTTTTTTCTCCGAAACTAAGGATTTTACAAAAAATTTTTTACGATATTGACTCCATTTTCCATGCCGCATCTATTCCCAAATTTTTTTTTTGGATAAGTTGTGAATCACCCTGTGTAGGTTCCTAAATCCTAATCGAAAATATATTTAAACTCATCTTATTAAAATAATAGCAATTTGTACCTACAATTAGGAATTCAAAACAAGTCAAGAAAACCGGAAAAAATGAATCGATTGCAAATGAGAAATATTAAAAAGAATTTAGAAGGCACATTATTTAAAAATAAAATACGGGATATTTAGGAATAGCAAAGGCAGTTTAAAATTAAAAAGAACAATTTTCCATTGTAAGTTTTTCTAATATTTTGTAGCTCACGAGAAAGAGTAAAAGAGCTTTCTTATTTTGACTTGAATAAAAACATGCTACCTACAAAATTCCGAGTTAAATTAATCTATCACAGTGATTAGTGTAAGTGAAAGTTATTTCCTTTCAAAGCAAGTGATTCGAATGATTAAATTTTGAGCGAACGATCAAGTCAACAACACCCTGCTCTCTGGCACTTTAAATTTAAATCGAGATAGAGTAGGAACAACAAAGTAATTCTACTTCGTAACTAGTTCACTAAGTAAACAGTAGCCTTAATAAAACACTTTCAAGCATGGTGCGATAATGCCGCTCGATCTCTTTTTCCTTTAGTAGTATAAAAAAAAAAACAAGTTTGCACTCCGTATTAAGGCAATCAAATTTCAATTTCCATGAAAATCCTTCTAAACTGGAACTATGACAAAGAAAAATAGATCAAAATAGTATTTTTATTTAAGGGACCCAACATGCCTGGTTACTTATTGAAGGATGCTCATCATGGAGTATTAGAAACTGTAAGAAAAAAAATTTTAGTAAATAATAAAAGAATTGCTCAACGATGAATATTAATACTTTCAAGTTTTCAGATACATCAACAGATGATATTGGAATTTTTCTACACTTTCTAGAATCATAAAAATTGTAGCAAATAGCTTATATAATACACATTATATAACATGAGTTGGCAGATCCTCTCTCATATGTTAAGTATTAATAGTTTCCTGCGAATATCAGCCATCAAGTCTGTTCTTATTGTCAGATCATAATGTATGTAGACGCACGAATTACAGTTGGTGGCAGAGAGCTTCATATTAGCTTGATTTCCAAGTTCAATTACGCCGGTACACTTATTTTCTGGGCCTATGGATAAAATAACAGATCTTAGACCAGGAACTACAGCACCTATAATCTGCTTGTAGAGGAAATAGATACATAAACAGAAATATAGAATGCACCATCAAAAGGATACCAAAGGACAGGAAAAAAGCAACATCCCATCTACCCTTATACAAGAATATACTAACAAAATGTAAAGAGAAGATAGAGACAATTTTTCTCAAGATGAGCTGAAAGAACTATATACTCTACCGGAACTAGGTTGAGAGACATTGGCGACTCTACAGTGAGGCAACAGAAATCTAGAAGAATTGTGACAATTTCAGTGGGGACGAGGGTTTAGAATTACCTGGAATCATGGGACGAAATGACAGGAGCTAATGGTCATAAAGGTCATACATTGCAACTATAGTAATAAACAAAGACAGGAAATTTCACCCTTGTAAATGTCTTTCTCAACAGATCGAGCTTGCAATAACTTTGATTTAGTAAAGGGTTAGCAAAAACGAAACTTTAGACGTTCACACTAGATCCTAGACGAATTTTAAGAACAAAAGAAGTTCCAAAACAGGCCGTTGGAAAGTTCCTAACAACAGTAGCTGCTCACTACGAATACCAAAGTGTTTGAGTTTGTGCAGCAATTTCTTCATGGATGTTCTATCGAACGCTTTGGCAGAGTATAATAAATTATTCTACAGAAACCAATCGTAAACACAGAAATTTGTCACAAAAGATCTACCGGATATCGGGTCATTTTATTAGTTTAAATTAACATTCAATTAATTTTAAAAAATGTAGCATTGTAGCATAGTCTGGTACGTAGGTACCTGACAATCGCTAATAAGTTATTGGGCGATAATTTCCAATTTGTCATCTTTCTTAGAAATTAAAATGTCAGAAACTTTTTTCCAAATGGAAAGGAGGCAGTTTGCAAAGAAATAGTTTGCGATCAATCATCATCATATTCATATAAATACAAAGTTATTCGAAATAGAAAAAAATTTGGTGAAAATCTAGTGATTTATGAACGTTAAGTACAAGAAAATTAAAGGCAACATTTATGTATATTAACCAACTTTCTATCTGTACAATTTTTGAAATTACCATTCTGAGCATAATTTAGTGAATTAAACACATCATTAAAAAATTTGTTAAGATTCTACAAAATTTTCTATACCATATTTCTTCATAAATATATATTACAAGTGAAGCTGTCAGTAATAATATAATACAAGTAATCAGTACGATGAAAATTATGAAGAATACAAGACAAAACCATGAACTGTCAAATTATTATTACTTTTATCCAACACTTGTATATAATGATACCATAATTTCTTTGGTTTTAAAGGAATAATGTGGCCACAAGTCACTAGTGAGTTGTAAGTCATAAGTCACCAGTTATTTGAAA